TCTGGGGTCTGGGGTCTGGGGTCCCTGTCCCCAGTCAAAGAACCATCTAATGTCATGCCTGGCTGAGGACAGCAAACTGTCACTCGCGATGCTGGGTTCGAGTGCTGCCTGTGGCCTGTGGCACGGGGCGCAGGCGCAGGCACACTTCCAACATGTGTTGCATATTACTTGGAAAATGCCTCAAATTGTTGCGGCTTGCAGATGTTTGTTTCGTTAGAGGCATGGGGATGGGCGGCGGTGGCCCCCCGCCCCTTGAAAAGCGGGGGCAATGCCAAGTTGAAGTGACGTTTTCATTTTTCGGAAAATCCCCTCTTTCATTTGACTTTTCCTATTTATAGGCTGTGGCAGCAGCGGGCGCGTGTGTGCCCCCGTCCATTGCCCAGAGGCCCTCGCCCTCGCCTTAGCCCTCGTTGTTGGATCTTGAATGAATCTGTTATAAATATAAACCTAGCGCGCCCCAAAACACTTTCCGGGGAAATCCATCCGTGAAAATGTAAAATATCTCCTGCTGAGTTCTGTTTTTCCCCCGCCCATGGGCGCACTTTCTGTGCGTTTTTTGTGTGTGTGTTTTTCCATTTCGTGTATTTTGTCTTCGCCTCATCGTAACGCAGGGACTTCTGACTTCTGTCTTCTGTCTTTTGTTTATAAGTTTTCAATTAATGCTTTATTATCGCCGGATTTTTTGGGGGCATTTTTTTGGGTATGGGATTCTATTCCGTTTGATGAGCTGTTGATGGGGCTTCGCTTGAATTTTGTCTGCCATCTGGCGGGGGAGAGCTGCACCGATTCGAACAAATTGAATTATTTTAGTTGATTTTTCAACACCCAAAAGGAATATGGATATCTCATTTTTGTGTTCGAGTCTCCTTACCAAGATATTTGTTTCGGGAGTATACCTTTTACGATAAATACAACGCTTATTGATTGATTTTTGTTAATATTCTACGAAAATATGAAATTTTCTATGTTTCCTACAGGGAATTCAATTTCTACTACATTTATACATGACATTCTACTTGAGCTGTTTCCTGCAACCGAACTCTACCACTCAACATCCTCTCCGTCCCACACCCACCAACAGCTGGAGAGGAGCAGAAGAAGGAGAGCATTTTTGCATTTTGTCGGACTCAAAACGGACAACGAAGCTAAGACAAAACCGCACCGAAACGCACAAATGATTTCTAATAAGAGCACAAATTTCAGGCATATTTATTTAAGGTGCGGCAATAGAGGGCGAAGGTACGCGTAGACACACTAAACAGGAGAGAGTCGGATCAGCAGTTTTGGCAATGCCTCACCCCTTTATGAGCATCACTTGGATCGAGAGAGACTTCTTCCTTTTTCATTCTCTTCTTCACTGCCTTGTTACGCCACTGCGTGGGAGAGGGACAAAACTTGACGAATTTACAAGCACGCACACACACACACACACACACGCATTGCTAGAACTGACGGGATCAAACGAAAAGGAAGCGAGAAAACGGAACAATAAAACATTTTACTTTGATACACACGAAAAAGAGGATTTTTTCAAATATATTATGTTAATCTACATATTTATTTAATATATGTACTATACATATGTATGTACTCACATACATAACAAATGGCCGCACTTTTCCTTAGTCGAGCTGCATTTTGCCCATTTTTGCGTCCCGTTCTTGAGCAGAAACATTTTCTTGCAAAGAAAACATATTTTTTGTATTTTATCCTTGCATCACTAAACTAAACTTCAGTTCACACACCTGCGCGACATTTTTCCCGTTGGATTTTTCACCATTTTCCGAATTTTCACCGATTGAAAAGCGGAGCTGACTTGCGAACGCGCGCTTCGACCGGGTGAAACAAATTTAAGTGAGAGCGGCGCAAATGCTCTCATGCCACTCTTCCTAATAGCTCTCACACCCACGCTCTCTTCAGCTGCTTTTGCGAAAACCAAACGAAAAAAAAGGGACACAACGGAACAATAGCAAATTTTTGATTTTTACACATGAAAAAAAAATGAATGTATGCTACAATTATATGTTTATTTAAGCATCATATTTATGTATGCATCAAAAGAATATACATAATATATTACATATTGTCGCACTTTTTCTTCGTCGAGATGCATTTCTCTCGCCAATTTGCCCTTTTCTGCGCCCCGCCCTTGAGCAGACACATTTTCTTGCAATAAAATACAATTATTTTGTATATTAACACTTCACCGCTACACTAAACTTTACTACACACCTCCGCGACAATTTTCGCGTTGGATTTTTCACCATTTTCCCGATTTTCACGGAGTAAGACGCGGAGCTGACTTACGCTGTGACGCTTTGAAAAAATGCGTTCATTCTATGCTCTCTCTATCTAATTGGCCTCTCTCCCACGCTCTCTTGAGTTCTTTATGCTTTTGCTTGTCTCTACTCCTGCCCTCCGTCCACTGCTTCGGCAAATGGAGATCAATCAATATATTTAAATTAAGATATTTTACAAAGAGAGATTTATTAATTAAATTAAATTGAGATAATTTCACAATGCGCTGCACCTACACCGCGCACTGTAACTCTCCCACCAGGCTCTCCCTCTCACTCCCATTCCCACACAAGAAGCTTGACGAAAGAGAGTTAACGGACCGACCATCTTGAGTAATTTCAACTTGAGCAAAAACTACCCGAAGCGAGCGTGGGAGTGAGAGAAAAGAGGAAGAGCAGCAGGAGATCAAGGAATGAACGCATTTGAGCGTCTCTCGCTTAATTTTTTTTCAACAGGTCAGCGTTCAGTGGGTCAGCGCCGCGCTTTCCGCCGTGAAAATCAGGAAAATGGTGAAAAATCCAATAGGAAAATTGTCCCGCAGGAGTGTGAAGTGGAGTTTGGTTTAGTGATGCTGTGATTATATACAAAATAATAATTTTATTGCAAGAAAATCCGTTTTCTCAAGGGCGGGGGTGCAGAAAAGGCAAAATGCGAAAAAAAGATACACAAAGGAAAAGTGCAGCAATTTTTGATATTTATATTTGTACATAAATACATATAATTATTTTGCATAAATTCTCTTTTTTTCATGTGTATAAATAAAAGAAATGTGTTATTGTTCCGTTTCCTTCCTTTTTTCGTTCCGTTTTTCGTTTTCTCAAAAGCTGCTAAAGAGAGCGTGGGAGTGAGTGCAATTAGGAAATGGAGGATCAAGGAATGAACGCATTTGCACCGCTCTCACTCCTATTTTTTCACCCGGTCGAAGCGCGCGTTCGTAAGTCAGCTCCGCTTTTCAATCGGTGAAAATCCGGAAAATGGTGAAAAATCCAACGGCTAAAATGTCGCGCAGTTGTTTTTTTAAGTTTGGCGATACAAAAAAGTGTTTTAGTGCAAGAAAATGTGTGTTTAAGGCAAAAAAATGTCTCTGCAGGGGCGCAGGAAAAAGCAAAATGGCGGCAAAAATGCAGCTAGTCGAAGAAAAAGTGTATTAAAGTGTTATATATGTATATGTCTTAAATATATGTATATATATAAATGATACAAGTTTATAAAAACATATTTTTTTCATGTGTAAATATTTAAAATGTGTAATTGTTTCCTTGTCTCGCTTTTTTCATTTGATCCCGTGTGCGTGGGTGTGTGCGTGCTTGAAAATTCGTCAAGTTTTGTCCCTCTCCCACGCCATGGCGTCAAAGTCAGTGAAGAAGAGAATAAAAAAGGGAGTGAGTCTCTCTCGATCCAAGTCATGCTCATAAAGGGGTGAGGCATTGCCAAAACTGCAGATCTGACTCTCTCCTGTTTAGTGTGTCTACGCACACCTTCGCCCTCTAGTGCCTCACCTTAAATAAATATGCCTGAAATTTGTGCTCATTTCGTGCGTTTCGTCTGCGGTTTCGATGCGGTTTTGTCGTACCTTCGTAAAATGACAATGTGCGATGTTTGTAGAAAGAAAAACCTATTATTTTTCATAATATTTTTTTTTATGTGTAAAAATCTAAAATGTTCCGTTAAATGAATAAATAAATATGCCTGAAATTTTTGCTCATACTAGAAAACATTTTGTGCGTTTCGCTTGCGGTCTCCACGCGGTTTTGAAATCAGAATCGAAGAGGATTATAGGTAAGTGAGAGAGAAGAGAGAAATTCTATTTATCTTTAATATTAAAATTATTAAAAGAGATTGATATATGCTGAAAGAGCTTGAACAAGTTTATTGACTGGAATTCAATTCTTCGACCCTGAAGTACGGCGGTCTATAATTTTGTGTGTGGTCATATGTTGAGCTCTCCTATTCACAGGCATTGTTTAGGGCTGTACTTTTGTCTGAAAATCTACATTTTTGCCCTTCCCCATTCCCGCTCATTTCGAGCATTATGTCAATGTTTGGCAGTTAATTAAATCCCGAAAATATTCGCTCTCCATGGGAGCAGCAAAGCCCATTAGCTTCCCCTTCCACCCTTCCGACGGCCAGGATGGCTACAAGGCCTCCATCGCCTCGCTGGCGACATCCATCGACAGCCTTAAGAAGGTCTTCCTGCCCCAGGTCTTCGAGGTCTTGGGAGCTCCATTCTGATCCCCCCAAAAACGGAGGATTTTGAGTGGTTTTTATAGCTGAGTCGAATATTTTACGTGATAGTTTTTAATAAATCCATGTTTGAATCAAAGTGAATATTTAAATATTTTATTTAAGCTAAATATGGCTGTGTTTCCCTTTACTCTGCCCTTCTTTCCCCTGATCTACTCTGGTAGATCAATCGGGAAATCGCCCTATGGGATTTCGATTGTCTGTAGAAGCCATTTATCTGCAATGCCAGTATCTGGATACATTCCACTTATGCATTCCATTCAGTGTTTCAGTGTTGTATTCCGTATATCTCGTGATTGAAAAAAAGTTCTTGTCGAAGTAGAAGATCAGCGAATCAGCAACAACATTGTTGTCAATGAACAAAACAAGATGGCTAATCGCCAGAGAACATGAATATGGCATGCCGGGATCATCCCATAAATAGGTCTGGTCGGACCCAACGGCACGGACAGATCAAAATGAAGTGGATACTGGCAGTGTTGCTGCTCCGATTGCTGCACAACATTTCGGTGACTATAAACCATACAAATATTGCATTGATAATACATGGAGGGATGTCTTGTAGTGCGAACAATCCTATGTGGTCACCAATGAGAAACTGGAGCCCTTCGAGGGCGACTCGGAGACCTTGGTGCTGTTCGACACCCTGAAGACCGTTGGCCGGGAGCGAGCCCTCAACGGATCCTTCAAGTTCCTGGGCGCAATGAACAACGACGACTTCAAGGTGTCCGTCGAGCTCTACTCGAGTCCGAACGGTGACGGCGACTTCAAGCGCATGGCCATGGACGTGCCGCAGACGAGCATCTGTGAGTGCTTCAAGAAGTTCTACGTGCAGTTCGTTCAGCCCTCGCTAACGCAGGGAGAGACCACCAATTTTCCCACTGTCGATGAGGATACGTGTCCCATTCCGGAGGGCGAGTACTACATCAAGAATGTCCTCTTCAATACGGAGGACTGGCCCCAGCAGGTGCCGCGGGGCATTCTCAAGGCGATCATAACGTTCTTCAGTGCCGGCAAGAATGTCGGCGGTCTGACTGTGATCATCAAGATTGAGGATCGTCAGAGTTAGATAACAACCTTATATATTCATATTTTCGTTAAATACAACAAAAAAAAGTCTTTGAAAGCGAAATGTATCCGGAATAATGGATTATTGATATTTGACAGAAATCGAAAGACAGACAGATTGCAACGTACGAACGAGCACAGCTGCACGACCCTAAGAACTATGACCCAATTGTGTCAGTTGCAAAGCAACTCAAGAGATCGATAAACTTCGAGCGTGGAATCGTAGCCATAAAGCCGCAAGCCATGAAACTGCAAAGCAAAGCGATCGCTTGGGACCCCTGGAGATCGCAGACAATGCACTTCACTGCAGACACGATCAAAGTCAAGCTGTCAGGCGACTTCCATATGACACTGTAGGTGTCACGCACCCACTCCCAGGGCAGCCCCAAGCCAGCCCCAAGCGAGCCCCAAGCCGGCTGCCTAACCCCTTTTCCCTCTCAATTTATGCAAAGCACATCTCGAGATCGATCAGAGTTACTCAATTAAGTGCCAACAATTTGCTGTGAAGTTTTCAATTTCAATCGCCTGCTCGCCGCACACAGAAACGTGCCACATGTTGCAAATGCCTCGACAGTGGCCAGCTACCCAGCAGGTTTTCCTTTCGGTGCTGCATGCGCTAATTTGAGCAAATCAAACAAGACCCCCAGACCCCCTATCGCTGGAGTTGGAGTTGAAGTTGGATTTTGGTTTTTGGCATCGGATCCAACCAGTTTCGATCTGGCCTGAACGCTGCGTGCACTTTTTTGTGTTGCCAAAAGCAAAAGCAAAACAAAAACAAAACCCAAGCGAAAATCGAAAGAAAACACCTGCCACAATTGATTAAATCACTGCTATTTATTATTATGAACGCAAAAGAACGACAAAGCAGATACTCGTACTCGTATCTACCATATGCAGTCGATCTGTATCGAAGAAACGCAGCCGACATTTCGGCACTTTGAATGTTTTATAATTATTGATTCAGATAATGAAAACATTAATTAATCAGCTTTATCATTTGTATCAAATCGGATACGAATATTTATGTATATACACCCCACGCGCCCTTGAGTTAAGACTCTGAATAAGAGTTTTTGAGAGTACATCCGTAAGGATGTTACTGGCATTCAAATATCGGTGTTTCCGCTCTATAGGAATATACATTCTATTCTATAGAAATTTTAGGAGCTCATGGTATTCAAAGGAGGTGTTCTTAGGGGCTGTAGATAAGCATCGATCGGAGACATATTCTTGAAGGATCTTTTTTTTTATTTATTTGATTTTTCTCCTAAAGCTAAAAGTTGTACTAATATTTATAATGTTATTCATATTATAATACTTATTGATTGATTTCTTGTTTGATATAAACTTAAAATTTTCGATTTTAATGGCCTTGTTTTAATTTTATTAGTTTTCCATTTTCCATAAATTTATTTATGGGTGATTTAATAACTTTGTCTGCTAAAGATTTGAATTGAGAATTATTTCCTCATTATTTAATAGAATTTATAATAATTTTTATAGCATAATTAATTATACTTATTATTATTGTATAATTATAATTATAATTATTAATTATAATATATATTATAATGTTATTATTGATTGATTTCTTGTTTGATATAAACTTAAAAATTTTGTATATTTTTATTTGTTTTTATTTTTTTACTTTAATTTATTTATTTATTATTTTTTATATAAACATTTTAAATGTTAGATTTTATTGTTTTTTTATTTAATTTTTTTTTTTAATTTTCTGTGCCGCATCATGGTCAATAAGAAGCGTTACTGACTCGATGAATTATTTTTTATTTTATTTTATTTATTAATTTTTTTTTTATTAATTTGCCATCGAATAAACCTATTTATGGATTATTTAATATCTTTGCCTGCTTGGGAATTATTTCCTCGAGGGGTGGACGCTTTTCCACCAGTTCTTGCAGGTAGATCTCGAGGTTGATGGATTCGGCCGGTCTGGCTGGTCTCGTTGTGGGTTGTGGGTTGTGGGTGTTCCAGCCCCCATTCGGCCCGCGACTCGGCGACTTAGACACAGTGGCTACCCAATCTTTTTGCATAAATCAAGCTTTTGCGCAATAAACTTTTGGCACGTTCTAAAAGTGTTAATTGGATTTCTTTTTTTTTTTGTTTTTGTTGGCTTTTCAGGCCTAGGCCCACATAGTGCAGCAACGAATTTGTGTGTGGGTCTGTGGTAGATGGTAGATGTCGATCATTGATTTGATCGAACGTTGCAAGTGCTTCGAGGCGGGCACGGAACTCGTCAAATGTAAATGAACCTCATTAGTTAATGGTTTACTTGGTTTCGCCATAGATTGTTTTTGATACGAAAGTTGAATGAATGACTTTTTCGAGTGGTTGAAAACAGGACAAATTGCACTCGATAAATGCCCTTTGAATGGCAAACATTTCAATAGATAATACGATAAATTTCGATAAATACTTCGAGATAAATAAAGACGGTTCGGTCTCCAGTACTCAATATTATTGCCCCCCCCAAGTCGTCACGTTTTCCAGCTTTTCGGTTTTAGTTGAATATTCAACACACTCAAAAATCGTTTACAGCGAAGTGATAAATCAGAATAATTGAATGTACCCCCGGCTATTGGCTATCTGTAATTTTTAATGTCTTCTTCAAGAATTCCGAGTGTGATCTCGATTCGGATTTGATTATTTCCAGAATTTACACAACATTTTAATGGCAGCCAAAACAGGGCCATAAAACTGTTCGAATCTCCACTCAAACACACACAGCTGCAGCCCCCCCCCCCCACTCCGGCGAAGAGCCTACAAATTGTTTTCAACAGAATTATGGCATCTGTATCTCAAGGCCCAGCGACAATGATTAAATATTTGAAACTTCTGTTTCTAGAAATATCTGTGGATCTGTGGAACTGAGACGATTGTAAGAATTTTATTAATGGGTCGCGTGATTTAATGTGACCCCCAGTCGGCATGGATATGGTCATAAATCTGTATAGAAATGTGTGCCGCCTAATTGCGTAATGATTGAGTTAGTTGCTGGCTCGCTTCTAAGATCCCAGCCGCTAATTGGTGGAAGATATTCCCCATGGTGGGGAATGGTGGATGGTAATGGAGCCAGCTTTCCAGAGGGATCTCCAATCGAATGCGATGGCTTCCCACGTTCTGTGTTGCAGGTTAATGAGAGAAACCCGACCAGAAGTGCTCCGAGTAAATTTTCATTTATTTTCCACTGCGCCACACATTCGTTCTGTCATCACATTATTTCAGATACATTGCCCACACCCCCCATGCACCACTCCCCCATGGAAGGGTCATAAAACTTTGCTAATTAAACAAGAACAGAACAGTTGGTGACCCAAATCTGGTGGTGGTGACCCCATGTCTTGCCATAAAATCCCCATACCCTGCCGAAAGATATAAAAAAATTGAAAGATTTTTAATGGGCAAACCCGAAAAGAATTTCAACAGATTTTCCACTCGAATGTTTTTCGCAAAAATGGCAAAAATATTGAACCAGAAATCCGCTACAGAGCACTCCTCGGACCGTACTTCACAATTTCGAGTGGCATATCCCCCCCACACCCCTCTTGGACAGTCCATGGCACAGCATAAATTCTCACTTGAAAATTTGGTTGTTTTTTTGCAGCTTAGAGCTTTTCCGGGGGAGGGGGGGCGGCTTAATGATGATGGAGCCGTGTAGTGTGGAAATCGAGGGACAAAACCTTTTAAAGAAACACACAGCAAAAGTAGAGTACAATTTCCACAAGCCTCAAAGTATGCAAAGGTACAGAAAGAGAGAGAGAGAGGGAAAAGGTCCACCTTCGTCATCGGACAAAAACCAATTTATAGATAATAAAATAATTAATCATGCACTTGTCGTCCGAGAGACTCCGGGAAGGACACGCAAACACCCAGCACATTATATGGCCAGGGACCGCCTACCGAATCCTCGGGATCCTCCTCTGGCCAGGCCATTAACTCCACTGTCCAAATGGTCTGCGAGTCTGCCCTGACTATGATTGATGTCCGCCGGGAAAGCCAAAGTGCTGGCAATGACTAAACACAATTTTCCAGTGTGTGCGAAAAATCACGAACAATTCTGGGGGATGGGATGGGAATGATTATGATAAGACAATTTGCCCTGACTTCCCTCTCTAATTAAACTTGTCTCGGCCAATACTTTCCAGTTCTCTTCTCTCTCTTTTTTTTTGTGCGGCATCATGGTAAATAAGAAGCGTTACTCATTAATGCAGGCACAGCCACTCAGTTGACTCGATGAATTATTCATGGGACAGGGCCAGGGCCCTGTGTGGCTGTGCGGGTGCGGTCTCCCCTGATTTTCACTGGCCAAGCCTTATAATTGACTCGGCTGGGTCCTTTTCGAACAAGTGGCACACTTATATGTAGCTGCCGCTCATTCGGTTTCATAATTGATCTGGAGTGCCGTGCCGTGCCGGGTCTCGGGGCTCGGGATTGGGTTCCTTAGCAAAATTAAGTGATTCAAAATGGTCCGATGACTTGGCTAAAGGAAGAAAGTATAACAGGTGTCGGGATATGGGATGTATGGTGTTTAAACAGGAAATAGTCTGCAAGAAAACAGATTAAACGGTCTTAGGGCATGACAATTTCCTTGAGTCATTTCGAAGGCTAATCCGTTTGGGAATTGCCAGCAAGTAAGAGACGAAATTCATAAGGAAGTACAGCAAGAAAAGTGAATGTTATTAAATATTAATTGAAGTAAGCACTTTTTTTAATTAAACAATTTTTATATAATTAAAGGCTATAATATTTATGTATTTTAGATATTTTAAGACCTAGATTTATTATTTTTAAATTTTTTATTTATCACAGGGAATACAAAAATAAAAGTAAACAATTTTTTTAAAATTAAAAGTCAAAGTAATAACTTACATTTTTTTTTTTTTTAAATAAACTATATTTGTGTATTTTAATATTTACAGACCTAAATTTATTATTTTTTAGTCTTTTTTAATAACAGGCAATACAAAAATTTAAGCACAAAATTTTTGATAATTAAAACTAACAATAATAATTTAAATTTAATTTTTAATAAACTATATTTAT